TAGTGTCTTTGCAAGTTTTCTAAATGCTCAAGAAGTTTCAAACCAATCTAACTTACAAATTGCAAGAAAACACCATAAATCTACACTGATGTCCCTTGACCACTGCTTAGAAAGTTGATGACGAACATTGAATTGCAATTTCTCCTTCTCCAACTATTAATTCTCATTCAAACTTTGTGTGCAGCTCAGCCTTTAAGTCTTCAACTTACCACACTAAAATTCACCTTATTCTAGCTGGTAGATCTCTAGATATTGTAGAAACTCTAAACAACCCCAATCTGCCAACTTCTGATACCTCTTTATACTAATGATCAAATATCCTCTATTTTTACCATTAGATTAATACAAATTTTTGCATGCACTTGGCATACTCAACCATCTAGACACCTCTAAAATTTCAATTGCAGATGTTTCTCCAATTTTACAAAACAGTCAAGAGTACTAGCCCTAACTTTATTGCAATAAATCCAAATCACCAATACAAACACTGACTTTGAACAACGATTGCAAAGTCCTCCCAAACCCTATGAAACTAAATCTTACACTTTTTGAAAGAGCTTGAAGCTAGCTCTTTGATTCCAAATCCCGATCTCCAAATGCCCCCCCCATTTTGCCCTAAGCGGCCATTTTAATGGCTAGAGGTCTGGTTTCGACCCCGACCCACAAACAGTCATCTCCCGAATATCAATCCTACTTATCCTAGAGGTTTTTCAGCACTTTCCTATCCTCAAATTCACCTTATTATCTATCATATCATTTTTTTTTACTTCATCTACCTTATTTTTACTAATTTATGGCCTTTCTAAAGTGGTAAAATAGTTTCTACAATCTAGAAAGAAAATTTAATGACAAGCTTTTATCTACTAGCTATTAAGACAAGAAAATACTCTAAAAGCTTTTATAAAGCCTTCTTAAATTGTCTTGAGCTCTTATCAACCAAGATAACTAAATATTAATAAAATCTTTTTCATTTATATTTTCACCATATAGTCGTGTTACAACACGACAACAGATGACCATCTATGACTTCTACATGTACAGATTTAGTTTTTTGTATTAACTATATATTATGATTTTTAATAAATTCTTCATCTTAAAAACAAGTTGAGGCTCTTGAAACTATTAAAGCAAAGGCTTTGTGATTATTAGATCCTAAATGCACATCTATTATAAAACAAGGAGAGATTTTTGAGGAGAGAATAGGACCTTCATTAGGAATTGTACAAGATTCCAGCTGCACGGTCCCTATTATAGTTGGACAAATTCATTTTCTGACATGTTTTCATCTTTGACAGCAGTACTTCTTATTTTTTAGTTGCATCATTTCTTTGGACAATATTGAGCAGTGATCTTAGTTTCTCCATAATATAAATATAGTCCTTCTTGATGATAACGAGTCTTTTCTTGTTTGATAAGAGGTTTAAATCATATTGCATCAATTTGCATGTCTTCTACTTCCAAATGTTTAGATTGAGGAGTCCTTGGTGTTGTCATTGAATTGTAATAATGTTGAGGTTCCCTTGTGTGATTTTCAAATCAGAATTCAAATAGCTAATTGTCATATTTCACAGCAAAGTCAATTGCTTGACTCAATGTCTAAGGGTTAGATAAATTGAACATCAATTTCTTTACTTCATATTTTAATCTATAGAGAAATTGGATGATGAGTGCTACATTATCCCACTTAATATCTGTCACTAATTATCAAAATTATAAAGTGTATAATATCGCTAATCTATTGCCTTGTCGCAAGATACAAATCTTATTGGTTACAACATGGATTGTATCATGTTCTCTACACATACATCAAAACTTTGCTAAGAATGCTTCCAAATTATCCAATATTAGATCATATCATTCAAGAAATGATGAAAACCATGATAAAGCAGAACTTGAAAGTAGTATTCCAATAAACTTGACTTATGATCTTTGAATTGGATAACTTTGAGATTGTAGTTCAATCACCAGTTGTACTTGATTGATGAATCCTCAAAACTTAGATCTTATGCCATCAAACTTTTTAGGCAATCCAATTTTTGGTTCCTTGAAACTTGAACGATATTTTATTGTAAGAGCAGTAGTATGGCTTGGTATAGATGTTGAAGCAACTCCAATCATTTCTATATCTTCATTGCTTGATAATCTTGTTGCTCCTTGTGGTGGTAGACTGAATTGATGCATTGCAAGCATTAACTCTCTCATTTTTTCTTGCATTTGAGCCATTGCACTCTTCATTTTAGTAAGCTCTACCATGCTAGTACAATAAAAAATAAAAAAAATAAAAAGTATCTATTCTCACAAAATACAATACTGAAGAATCAAAAATAAATAAAAAAATAAAAAAATAAAAAAATAAATCTAGAAATAATATCAATTTAGAAGAAGATAATCCATAACTTCTAATATGCTTATGTCTTATCAAGAAAAAGAGGTAATCCACTCTTACTCAAGAAAGGACAAAGCTCTGATATTATATGTATATTCTTGTTAATTTGTCAAGGACATAAACTTATGGAATCTATATCAAAAAGAAAGTGACTAAATAGAAGAAAGTATGTATATTCAAGGAAGAATCGGAATAGCTATTGCCAAAGACTATAAAACATAAGACTCTTGAAACTAGACTAAAAATAAGAAAGGAGTTGACAACAGAGAAGAAGGCCTCACTCTTGTTTCTATATATACTACTTAACTAAGAAATATGTAGCAACATGCTATAAGACCTCTAATACGCGTCCAAATTGTAGGACATATGTCTAATTTGCAAAGCAAGTTTCTTAGGTGTACACCATATGTCCAACTTGTACTACAAGTAGTCAACATGTCGACATGTGGCCTCCTTGTTGGCCAAGTTTTCAACCTACCAATCACTTATAGACATGTATAAAGGCAAAGCAGCATCTATGAAGCTTCTAAGAAGCTTTCTACAAGCTATTATCATATTTATCTACTTTGACTTACTTCTACCTATTTTAATTATTTAGATAATTATCAAGATAAATATGTATGTCCGTGATAGGAATTCATTCCTAAAAGGGAGAAATAATGTCACATATATATATATATATATATATATATAGCTATTGTAATTATTACTTAGATAATATGAATAGATAGAAGTAGGTAAAAATAGATTAATTTTATAATACCTTCCAAACAAGCTTTCTAAAAGCTTTTTAGACATTGTTTTGACTTTACATGTGTTTATAATTGATTGGTAGGTTAGAAACTTGGTCAACAAATTAATCATGTGCCACATGTATTAATAGCTTGTAAAACAAGCTAATTATGTGATTTCCATATAAAAAACTACATGCCATATGTATTGATAGCTTGTCGAACAAGCTAATTATGTGGCATCCATATAGAAAACTTGCCTTGCAAGTTAAGATACGTGTCATGCAAAGTCAACATGTTTTTAGAGGTCCTATGGAACATCGCCACATAGATCCTAGGTATATAGTATATATAGAGGCAAGAATGAAGCCTTCTTCACTCTTATCAACTCCTTTCTTGCTTCTAGTC